AATGTAATGTACCATTAATTAAGATTTGGTGTGCTGTTCATCGGTAAAATCTTGCATGGAAAGATGTAAGTTCTACTGTAGTTGAAGTAYCTCATATAGTAAGCAAGTTATCTGCTTTTTTCCACAACTCAGCACWTCGAACTAGAGAACTACAACAACTGTCTAAGGAAAATAATTTACAGCTAATAAGGATACCAACATTTTTTCAAGTGCGATGGACGGAATTTTCTTTTAATCTAGTTAACTCAATATTAATTTCATGGRAAGCTCTGCAGGTTATATATATGCAAAATTCTGAAGAAAAAGAGTCCAAATGGATTTTTATTATTATTAACTAATAAGGACTCTATTTATTTATTAACATTTTTGACAGATGTATTAATAATTTTTAGTCGTTATCAACAAAGCATTCAAAATGATACAATAACGGTTTTGGATCTTGTTAAACACACCGAGTCAGTGGTAAACAAAATTAAATCATTGAGTTCAATTAATTTAGTTGGAGGTTGGGTAGATGTACTCGAAGATAAACTTAAAGGTACTGATGGAAAAGCTCTAGAAGGTATAAAATTAATTGATTTTAAAGAAAAACGAAAACATAGGTATAATTTGTATGTAACTGAAAACAGATCTGTAAGTGCTATATGCCATGAAATAGTAGAAACTTTGGTTATTTTTTTGCAAGACCGCATAGATATTGACGAATATTTTGTTAGTRCTTACTATTAAATCTATTGTTAGCCTTGATTGCAATGCCAACATCAAAAATGTATTTGACGTTTTGGGTAAGGATTTAGACTTAGCTGATCTAAATATGGATATACAGATCTAACGGAACATGATAAACTAGAAGAGGTACGACAAATTCCATTGCCTAAACTTGCTCGTGTTGTAGCAGAAAAACCGCACAGCGCTGACGTTGAGCGACTAATTAGTAAAAGTAATATACTGAAATCCATAAACCGTCAAAGTATGCATGTCACAACGGAAAATGAATATCTTTTTATTCATTTTAACATGCCTACTCTTCAAAATTGGGACCCAAGACCAGCAACATAAATATGATTAAACCAAAATGAACGCCGCATTAAAGACACACCGAAAGCTAAAGAACAGGAATGGTTTAATGGGATATTTATGGAAGCAACGAAAACAAAATTTGAAGAGCAAATTGAACAAAAAATTAAAAAAAGAATGTTCCAATATTATGTTATGTCTTACTCGTATGTATATAAATATTATTGAAAAAGTAAAATTACATTAATTAAATCAAAATATTATAAACGTAAATGTTTATTTTATTTCTTGTAATAGGTTAAATTTTAAATTATTCCACCTTAAAGATAAAAATGTTATAATTTTTAAATAATTTGATATTATAATACTTCAAGTATATTATAGTTCTATTTTTATGTGCTTATTTAAAAAAAAATGCGTAGTTGATAAAAATCCTTAGAATAAGCCCTGGTTAAAATGATATGACATGATTGAGAATAGAATGTTTTATGCGGTGCTGCCATATTTACGTTGCTGAAATATTGTTATAATTTATTATTTTCCTGTATTATTACACCAATTATTTTGAAATCAGACATGAGCCGTGAGCAGAGCTCACAGTTGTATTTACTTATTTTCATAAGGATAACTAATATTATATCAAACAGATCTACAAATAAACTATTATAATTATTGATCTCATGTTATTTTTTTAAATGTTGATTTTTTTGAATTATTATAATATTATTTAAATAAATATTGTTGTATAATACAGTTTAAAGTTTAAAATGACAACGTTTAAGAGTTTTTTATTCTCAATCATGTAGATTTTCTTTTGTATTTCGATTTATTTTGATATGCCGAAAATATGCTCAACCGTGTCGAAAAAATGGGTTTTATGCTCAACCATGTCTCAGCCAACTTTTTGTCCTGCTGCTATTGAAAACTATTCAGCTTTTTTAAATTGTTAACCCCACAAAGTATCAAATAGATTCACTTTCCTACTAGTAAAGATACTGTTGAAGAATACTTAAGTAATTTTACTGCCTAAAAATGTATGAGTTACATAAAAAAAAATTTTTTTCAATAACCATACACATTCATACATTCATCGCTCCATTTAAAATCAAAAACCATTTTAAACGTTGTTAAAATCATGTTAMTGTGTTCAAACGTTATATTTTAATAAAAAAAGTCTCATTTAATTTAATATGATAAAATAATTATTGGGTTWTTTATGACATTCCTCTTATTTAAATCACTCCCAGTCTTTGAAACGATGATACAAATGAATAAGATCAACAGAAATAATAACCACCAATCTTATCACATACAAATAGTTTGTTCATTTCTTCTTGACAATACTAAAAATAAATGTTAGAAGCTTTC